CCGAATCTTCCCTGGATCACTGGATCTTTTTTCCTTGCCCTGTACTGGACTTTTTTCCTTGCACTGCACTGTGAACACATGGACTTTTGTTTTTTTCCCCCTTACTGTACCTGGATCTCTGTCATGCTGCTTAGGAACACTGCACTGCAACTCCTGCAACTAAAACAGAACTATTTTTTGGCTAAAAGTGTATATGATCTCTGCCCGAATATTCAGATTTCACAACCATAGAGATACATGCATTGTGGCACTGGACGCCATCTCCTCCCTTTAAGTACCTGTGCTGTCTCGATCCCTGCTTATCCGTGTAAAGCTGCAAGACATCCCCGCACTGGTGCTGACATCAAATGCACACTTTCACTGACATGCCCTGACTCCCATAGATCCTCCAAGGAAGGCCATATCAGCGCTTCTGAACACTCGCTCTGTAATAACAAGGCACTACTTATTTCAAACTTTATTGTAGACAAGAAGTTGGACCTTCTTTTCTTAACTGAAACCTGGCACAAAAAAAATGATGACATCATTTTCAACCAACTCACCCCTCCAGGGTACGGGTTGGTTAACCTCCTATGTCCTCGGACTAAGGTGGAGGTATAATCATTTACAGCTTGTTGTGCACTTTATCCCTGTTAATGTACCCACTTTCTCTATATTTGAATGCCTTGTTCTCAAGGTCTGTGCTCCCTTCTCATCTGTTTTTTTTTACTGTTAATTGATTGCCCAAGTCTTGTAGAGTATTCTTAGGTGAAATTGCTGATATGTTTTCATTTTTATGCCTTAGTTTTAAGAGAATCATTATCCTTGGGGATTTTATTATACACACTGACCCAGGATCCTTCCAGTTTAGCATAAGATTTTTTTCCGCTTTACTTGAATGTTCAATTTGTTTGCACTCTCACGCATATCAAAGGACATACCCTGGACCTTAATATTGCTAATGGCTCTTTTTGTCTCTGACTGCTCATCCCTTAACTTAGGACTGTCTGACCATCTAGCTATTCTTTTCAAACTGGAATTAGCACTTTCTTACACCTCCCTGTCTTGATCTGTTAATTATTGCAACTGGACTACTATTGATAAGCCCAAATTTGCAAATTCTGTTACTTTCCCTGTATCCAGCATCTCCTCCTCTGACACCTTTTTGTTGACAAAATAGATGCCCTTAACCCTTTCCTGCCCAGCCTATAGTAAAATGATGACTGGGTGGGACTTTCTTCAATCTGGGTGGATGTCATATGACGTCCTCATGGATCACCACCTCATGCGTGCCCACGGGGCTGCACTATGGTGAGATCTGTACCCGGCTGTGTCCATCGAACACAGCCAATGACTGATCTGTGTGCCGGCCCGTTACCATGTGACCGCTGTGACCAATCACATGACAGTTGTAAACAATGGATGTCTTCCTTTCATGCCATCCATTGTATACAATTGTGTTGCTAGCTGTGATTGGTCACAGTGATCACATAGTACAGACTGGGCCAATCACAGCCCACCTGTTTCATACGATTAGCTGTGACCCATCACAGCTAATCATAGCAAAAACTGTTTTTTTTTTTTTTTTTTTTTTTTTTTTATGTCTTTATTTTCCACAAAATTATGACAACTTCAAAAAAACTCACCATGCTTCTTACTAAATCCCTCAGACTGTCTTCTTTCCAAAAAGGGGTAATTTGGAGGATATCTATGCCATCCTTACATTTTCGGCCTCAAGGAATGAGATAGGCCTTCAAGCAGGATTGATTGATTTTTCAGATATATACAATAGTTTGTGAACTTTCCTACAGACTAAATAATATACACTGATTTGGGTTATTTTCACCAAAGAAATGTAGCAGTATACTCGCTTGCCTTGAAACCATATTTGGAGTCTCCGAATTGGCTCTGAAATGGATTAACTCATATTTTACTGATCACTGTCACTTTTCTCTTGGTGGATTTCAATCTGAAGTGGGTCCAGTCAAGGACAGTGTTTCTCAGGCCTCAATCTTGGGTCCCTTACTTCTTAGCATTTACATGTTTCCACTTGGCCAACTGCTTTGATCACATGGGCTCAATTATCACTTCTGTGCTGACAACACTCAGATATACATTCACACTTAACCGGATTCTACTGTGGCTGCTGCTCTCTTATCTAACTGTATTTGTGATATAAAAACTTGGATGGCCCATAACTTCCTTCAGTTAAACTGTGACAAGACTGAAGTCATGCTTATTGGCACCCCCCCCCCCCTCATCAATTGCGTAAGGCCAGTTCTGGTAGCCTCTCTATCGATGGCACTGTGCTGCACTGAGCTTCAGTCTAAATTAAAAAATCCAGGAGTGATATTTGATGCTAGCTTAACCTCTTGATCCACGTGTACAAAATGTTGTCAGAACATCCTTTTTTCCACTTGAGAAACATAGCTTGGCTGCGTCCTATGCTATCATACACTGTAGCTGAAAAGCTGACTATTGCAATGCTGTACTCATTGGTATACCTAAATCTACTCTTAATCAACTACAATATGTACAAAACTCTGCAGCCAGAATCCTCACTAGGTTTGGTACAAGTGACCATATTACCCCTATCCTCGATTCCCTGCACTGGATATCGTTCAGGTTTCGCATAGACTTTAAGATCCTCTCGTTCACCTATAAGGCTCTTCATGGCTTGGTACCCCATTATTTGTCTGAACTTTTATCAACTCCCCCCCTCGTAAACCTTTGCTCCTCAAATTCTGGTCTTCTGTGTGCCCCTCACCTACACTTGATGGGTGACAGAGCCTTCCTGGTATGCTCCAAAACTATGGCATTCTCTTCCAAGGAACATCAGAGAGTCCTCTCTTCTCTAACCCTTATTCAAATCAAATCTAAAAACTTTTTTCTTTAGACAAGCTTTCACTTAATGGTGTTTTTTTTTCTCTTGTTTTTATCCTGTGTATTTGTTTTCCTTGTAAAATGCTTTGAGAAGCTACCTTTTAAAGGCACCATATAAAATGAAAGATTATTATTAATATTATGTAAGGGCCCCCAAACCCCCTGGGGCAGAGGTTCCTCTCCTTGTACCCTCTGTCAAATTTTTAAAACAGCACAACTGTGCAGGGTGCCAGGAATCTGTGAATAAAGAAACTACCATTCCCGTCTGCTAGTGCAGCAGACGACTTGTAGTTCTCAGTGGGCTGCGAAGGTGCTGATGAGTGCCCTCGTAGTTAGTTCTCTCTTCCTCCAGCTTTGTAACTGAAAACTTGCACAGAGATACAGGCACAAGGCTGGAGGACGAGTGTCTGGGAGCCTGACATTGCTCCCATGATCTGATGATCGCGGGTGCAATGCTCTGCAGGCTCCTGGGAAACAAAAATACCTGCAAAAACATGTACATTTATTTTATTATTTATTTTGTAAGCTGAAGAAAGCACTGGGGAAACAGTGAGGTGGGATGTTGGGTTAACATTGCTTTACTTTAAAATGTATGTAAATTCAAAGCCAGGTAAACAACTATAAATACACCTGGTACCATCCTTCTAAGGATTTTGCCCCAATTTTAATCATAAAAAACCTCTGCAGTTACCTTTTTTATTAGGCCTTAGCCATGGTCACGTGACTGCTTGGTCCCTTCTTTTCCCCGCAACTTGCATGGCTGGGGATAGAGACTGCAGAAGACACTTGGCGGATTCCAGCAACATCACAAGTCAGAGAAAACCTTAGACCCTTAACATTCTTAACCTCCCTAGCGGTCTGATTATGTCCATATTTCTGTGCTCAAAGCAGTACATTTTTGTTGCATGGAAATATGTATTTTTTTTTTTATTGTAGGCCTGTAATTTTTAGGAATAACTCACTGAAATCTACAATTGAAATCTACAATTTGAAACACGAAATCATAAATTATAATTTAATAATCATAACTAATAATATAATAATAATAAATTTAATTCAATAAAATAATCAAACCAAAAACACTGAAATTTGAAATTGAGCGCAAAGTTCGCACATCACTGAGCAAAGTCGCAAAATCGTTTTCAGTGTCTGATGATGAATTTCCCCACGAATCATTATCACTCAATTCTGCAAGTGGTTCTAATTTACTATCTCTGTTCTCTAGCTGGTCTAAAACCGCTTTTGACCTAAAGGGACGCTTTTTGGACGCCATGGACGTTTCTCAGTTTCCAGGCAGAAAGAACAGTAAAAATGCAGGCAGGGCACAGGACAAAGCACTCGGGACAAAATGTATGTGAAATGGTTTGATACAGTAATGTTTTACTATGCGATTTTTTTTTTTTTTTTTTTTTTTTTTTTTTTTTTTTTTTTTTTTTTTTTTTTTTTTTTAGTGTATTTAGTGAATGTCATTTTTTTGACATTTTCAAATTTCCTGCCGTTCCGTCTCCCGTACGTCCCGACGCTCGCAGCGGACGGAACCCAGATGCCGGCATCCGCCGGAGGACATTGCCAGGGACACTGCACGAGGGACATCGCGGGAGCGCAGGACAAGGTAAGTGATCGAGGGATCCCGGAGCAGCACCGCGTGGTATGCCCGAGTGTAGCTCGGGGTTACCGCTTGTGGTACTGAAACCTTACCCCGAGCTACATTTGGCCAGGGGGGTTAAAATGACTGACAGACTACTGCAGTCTGAAAAATATCCAAGATGGGAATCCTCTGGGCTATGGGATCCATTGTCAAGCACACACTCTTATCCGCCTACTCAGGCTCCCAGCTGACTTTGTCAACAGCAGCACTTCCTGATGTGGTGGCTTCTTGTCAGTGTAATTCAGGGTAGACTGGTACTTTCAAATGTCTGGGCTATTTGGAACAGAGAGCAGAGTAAGACAGTTTCTCTTTCCTTCAAAGAGAAGGATTAACGGGTATTTTCATATACTGTAAATTCATTGTACAGCATATAAAAAAAAAAAAAAAAAAAAAAGGCCACACAATGTTATACAGATTTATTGTAGACTCTATAATGGGGTGCTTTTATGGTTTTACTAACAATTTAACATGTTCTTTGTTTTCACTGCAGTTTTTATCTATGGGATTTGGTTCTATGACAAAGAAGAATGCCAAAGAATAGCGGAGCTCATGAAAAAGTAAGAAAAGCACTGTGCTTTTTCATCTCTCTCTTGGTAGCAAGAGCTGAGAATATTGGAGAATTACACAATAGATATTTGCATCTCTGAGACATGGTGGGGCAATCATTTCCTGTTCATTGAAACTGTTGGCAGTGGAACAGGAAGTGAGGGAAATCACTCTAATGGTGTCCCAGATAGCAGTAAAACCCAGCAAGTTTTCTACCTTTTTCCCTGTTGTATCCAAAAACTAATAAAAAAAATATTGGCTGGACATACACATTTTAGGGTTTTCCATATTTCCCAATTTTACCTTTTTTTTTTTTTTTTTTTCCTCTTTCAAATCTTGTATATTGTACATTTTACAGTTGTGCATTGGAAGTCCAATGCTAAGTTTTTTTTTTTTTTTTTGTTTTGTTTTTTTTTTGTTTTTTTTAAACCCAGTCAAAAACCAGGTCTAATTTCATGGCATCACTCTGAGTGAGGAAGGATTAGTTCCCCTGTCGTAATATTGATGTTTCTTTCTGTGTTCTTCTGACCTAGCTACACGACAGGCATTGCTGTGAATGGACTTCCTGTTTCCCATCATTTTTAATTTTATTTTTTTTAGTGTGTGTGTATTATATGTAGAGATTCCACAGAGGACTCAAGGCATATGAAACAGGAAAGTTATGCTTCTAGCGTAGCTGACCTCATAACTTACTTTATCTGCTGCATCTTCTTGACTGAGTCCACGCAAGGTTCTCTGACCCAGGTTTCCCTCTTCTTGGGCGGCACCATTTCCTTGCAGGATCCTACAAAGCCATTCTATAATGCACACTCCTTGGAGAGAGAGTCTCCAAGCCTACATTATGAGACTTGCATGGCAGCCAGAGAAGGCTCGAAGGGGCATTCCAATGCGGTACAGGCAACCAGAGAACTACAAGGGGTGCACTGCACAGAGAGCCAGAGGACTTGAAGGGGCCCTCAGAGTAATGGGACATGTAACTCCAAGAAGGGGAAGAATCTGTGGAGTGTGTATATACAGTTATAATTCCATGCTGCCAAACACAATGTTTGGGTAAGCAGTGCAGAGATTTCCAGACGCTGTGCTTGTAAACCCAGCAAATTGTAAGTGTTTGTACACTGTATTTAAAATACCAGTTATTGTTCTTCATTCAAACCATATGTATAGATCTAATGTTGCTTCACAATTGTGAGGCTTTAGTACTACAAAGTCATAGCAACACCCTTGGTGTTGTTGGGACAGGACATGAGTGAAAATATCCTCTGTGGGGGTATAGATGGCAATTAAATTCAACTTCAAAGCCTAACTTCAAGAAATAAAATGGTTCACTTATTCTTCAATAGCCACAAAACATATATATCCACTTTGGGTGCCTTTTGCCAACCCAGATTATTACCTTGTTAAAAAGTATTGCTGTAAGTAGCCTGGGCAGAGGGCAGTGCTGTTTGAGACCCAGCAGGCCCCCCATGTACTACAGACTACCTGCAGAAAACTACAGCGGGGGGGGGAAGAGAGAGGAGAGACTAGACCAGTCACCCTGCATGACGAAAGAGAGCAGCAGTGAGCAGTCTTTATTACAAGAAGCTCCTGTACTGAGGGAAAGTCTCACACTTGGAATCTGGAATAAATACACAAAGGGGACTGTAATTCAAGTAAGAATACACATGCCTTGTATTTAGACAATATTTTCTTATCCTAAAGTTCAAAAAAATTGTCCCAGAACAGTCATAATAATGTGTACTGTTCTTCAGTTTAACCCAACAGGAGCAGCTGAAGGCACACCAGGCAGCCACTAATGGGGCATCTCCCATGGCTCTTCACTCAGATGGAAAGGAAGTGGACATCTTGCAGATGTTAAACAAGGCAAAAGATGAGTATGCAAAGGTGAGTGGCAGTAAAAGCAGTAAAAAGCCTTTCATGTAGTGGTCATGTAGTCTATTTTCATGAAAGTGTTTCATACTGTGTTTTTGTGCCACCTTGTAATGTCCTCTGTGCTATCCATGTGCATTTCTCTATGCACAGTTTAAATCCCATAGCCTGTATTCCCTAGTCCATCTCCGCATTGAGCATGAGAGAGTGGCTACATTCCTACATACTGCGGGACCGTGTGCAGAGAGAACATAGCCACTCTCTAACAGGAGTTAAGTCGGATCACAGCAGCAAAAATAAATGGATTTTGGAGGAGGCTGAGAGCAATAGAAAATACTTTTGAGTCAAGAATACATACCTGAATATTTGTTTTTTTTTGTACAGACTTTACTGTCACTTTTAAGCACTGCAAACTTCCTTAAAGTAAACTTGTGGTTTGCCAATGCAGTACAAAGCAACAGGTTAATTTCATACAGACCTCTGCAGACACCTGTACTTAACTTTATTTCACTCCCTGCCACTCTGTTCAGCCTCTGGGAATGAAGGAGAGTCCTGTGTGATAAGTTGGAATCAGAAACACAAGACTTGCCATAAAGTGCTGTCACATGGGATGAGTCATGTGCTCCTCGCTACCCAGAAGTACCAGATATTTCCATTGACAATCATCCAAAATTGAACAGAGTGGCAGGGGAGTAAGGGAAGGTAATTATATGTGCGGGCGTATTGGGGGATTAAAGCGAATACACTGCTTTGTATGGAGTGGGCTAAGCACAGATTTGTTTTAAATCGCTCCCGACATGGCATTAGGCTGCTGCGCAGAAAAGCGTCCAGGAGATTTATTCTGAAGAACCTGGGCCAAGGGGGTTTTGAACTTTCATTTTGAATTGGCCTCATCTCTAGAGCACATCTCTCCATGGATAGCCATTTTTGTTATCCAATTGATGTGTTTTCGAACATAATGAGAATGTGCTGGAAGTTAAAGATGAAGTGCAATTTTGCTTATATTTTGTTTTCCCTGGTTGCTCTTTCTCTCTTCTCTCCCTAACACACCCCTCCCCCAATCAACATGCCATGAAAAATTTAAATGAAACTTTTTCTTATTCCATTTCATACATTATTTTAGATGCAGCAGCAAGCAGTAGGCTAGCTCTCGGGAGGCAATATGCCATTAATAAAGTGCCCTGGTGGGTGGATGTTAGTTCGGTGGAGTTCATAAGCTGGCTGTATTTACATGCTGGTAATGCCCACATGTCATAATGAGCCTCCGTGATTGAACTGAAATCTATTGTATGAAGGAAGCAGGCCAGGGTCAGGCTGGAGAGAGAGGAGCTTAGAAAATGCTGGATGACCTCTAGCCAACAAATGAGGTGGGCTCCATGTGACATGCTGCAGATTATAATGCACATTGTGAGAACCTCACAGTGTGCAGCAAGTGCAGAGTAAGCCTTTTCAGCACAGAAGAGGAGCCTGTACAACTCTGCAAGGATTTAAAGGATGATCAGAGATAGAATATGTAAAAATTGCAGCTGAATGCTTGTTGTTCTGTGTGTAGAACAATCCATTTTATTTAATAAAAATGCAAGAGCATGTTTGCCAACATCACAACAAGTGAACGGTTACCACAAGAAAAAGAAATGAACAGGATTGGTGTTACTTTTAACTCATACTTGCTACTGATTATCTATTTACTTTCCATCTGTTCCCCATCGCAGTGCAAGCCATGTCCTGAACCCAAGGCAATGACTAGTTCCTCAGCTATCCACAGTAACCCCAACTTAATCAAACCCATTGCGGTGAAACCCACTGATACGTCACAGCAGGTGAACAGCACAGAACAAAGCAAGGTGATGTACAAGTATAAACCGCCTTTTTCAGAACCTCCTGTCATGTCTTATGAACTAGTTACACTTCTGATCTGTGCTGCATTCATCAAAGAACTAATAATAAGTTCTGTAAGGATTAGTGTATCTATGAATATGCTTTTTGCAGTTTATTATCTCTCATGTGCAGCAGAAGTGTTTGCTCTAACACGCTGGCCAGTAAGGCGTCAACATACCAGCTAAAGAAAGTTCCTTATTACTGCAGAAGGCAGCTTTAATGGAAGTAGAGGTTTGTGCCTGGCACTCGCAATATCTTCTTCCTAATTAAAGGAGCTAACTCCTTGTCATGACTGGATCTCTGTTCTTCTCTACATAATGCATGCAGATCATGTCTGGTAAGAAGGGATGGCAGGGTGCTGTACATAGTTTCCTGAAAACATGACCATACCCTGCCTCAGTACTCCTCTCAAAAGCCCTTAGCCCTGGTGCAAGCAATGGGCTGGCTCTTGGGAGTAGTTATGCAAATATTAAATTCCTTAATGGCTGGATGATTTTTAGGGGATAATGGATAATTTAAAGGGAATAGGAGGCAAGTTAGATATGTTATCTTAAAGAATGCATTAAGGTAAAAAACCGTCAGTGCAGTGTGCAGCTGCCCCCCTTAGCTTTCCCGATACTGCCCGAACTCTATCCAGTGATGTGCATGAGAGCAACTGTTCTCCCAGGTCTCTCCCTCCTCCTTGGCTGAGACACAGCAGCAGGAGCCATTGGCTCCCACTACTTTTCAAACTGTCAGTGAGGAGGGAGCCGGGCCAAGCCATGCTCTGTGTGTCTTTTGGACACACAGAGGAGGCTTGGGAACGAGCACATACAAGTGCACAAGCTGCTTGCTCTGGGGGCACTCAGCAGAGGTGAGGGGCCAGGAGCATCAGCGGGGAGCTCGAGAAGAGGAGGATCGGGGCTACTCTGTGCAAAAACCATTGCACAGAGCAGGTAAGTATACCATGTTTGTTATTAGCTGAACCTTTAGTATCACGCTGGCATCTTCTCCCCAGGTTCTTCCATGTGTTGTTTTGATTGGCTAGTGCTGGATGACATCACTCCTATGCATGCACAGGTGTACAGTCATCCCAGCGCACTGGCAGTGTGCTACAATATAAACTGAGCACAGCTCATTCTACATTCTGCAGGGGTTTGCGAATAGGCAGGGAATTGTATTTCCAGAAAAGATATTGCAGGTTTCTTCTGCAATGAAAAGCATGCCTGATTGCAATTCCTATTTTTTACATTTTAATTCTGCTGTAAGATTTTTTTTTTTTTTTTTCTAATTCGCAGGTAACAAAAAGAGTATCTGCAACATTTGGCCAATGACTCAATATACAAATGGCAATGTTCAAAGTCTTAGTATATTTTGAAAATGAGATAGCAATACTAGTTCTAAAAGTGGTCATTTTAAAAAGCAGTTTGATTGATGTTGGTTTAATAATTAGCCGGTGAAGGAAGAAGGGGGGAGGTCTCAGCTATGGAAATTTAAAGCAAGGTTTGGAGCATTCAGGAGGGTAGAATGTCAATTGGAGGATCATTAGAGAAAAGTCTGGTTTGATATTATTTGGGTATATTTGAAACATAGGTAAAGTTTGAATGAAACTTTTTTGGACCCAGGATTCCTTGTGTAAAGATGCCCCCACCCTTCCACATGAAACATATGATAGTTTGTCCATAAACAATGAGATAGTGGAGTGTTTTTCAAATAGATCCATTTATGTAGGATGGTTTTCAGTGCTGCTACAAGGGTTATGACAATGAGAATTTGTTTACATTTCCCTAAAATTTTGATAACTGGAGTATTCGTTAATCCTTTCTCTGCCAGAGCTGTCTAATTTGTTTTTGCACATATGTTTAAAAAATCATTTGTAGGCCTGAAGATTACATAAAACCCCCAAACATTATATAGTTTCAGAAAGCAGACAGCCTAGAGAATAAAATGATGGTAGTTCCATTTTTTTTCCAACGGTTTAGGAAACTCGAAAAAAAATGCACTAAAGTTTTGTGGGTTTTTTTTTTATTATATCTTTATTGAGTATTTGTTCCGTCTTTTTTTTTTTTTCTCCAATATTTAAAACCATACACTTTCATCATTATCACACAAGAAAAACAAACCATTCCCCTATGTTCCCCCGGTCCATGTAATTCTGTCCAAATATTCCTATCCCTTCCTATACATCACTATATTTCTTTACTTTAATCTTCTCTCCTATAGTTTTCTAAGTCTTCAGCAATTCTCCTACATCAATCCAATGAGGTTTCTACCATGTCTAGATATTTTTTAGATGTCTTAAACTCATACAAACTAACCCATTCCTTTCTAAATTTTCCATTTTATCTTCATCTATGTGATATAGCTCTTCCATCTTATTTTATATAGTCCACTCTATCAATCCAGTCCCTCAATGTTGGGGGTCCTGTACCTGGCAGCATTTGGGGATAAGTCCCTTGGCTGCACTAATTAAATGTTATAGTATATTGTTTTTGTATTGTTTCACTGGTATTTCTGATCCATAGAACAGACATCCCCATGGCTCTTTCTGCATAGTGATCCCCAAAATTTCCTGTATAACTTGTATAATGTCCTGCCAAAACATCTGTATTTTGGGACAATCACACCATATAGGTGCGATAGTTCCCTTTAGTCCACATCCCCTCCAACACAACGGTGGATACCTCTCCCTGCAATCTATGTGCCACATTTGGTGTACAATACCATCTGGTTAAACATTTATAATTCATTTCAACCGTGCTCATGCTCATTGCCCTGTGTATCAATGTATACTTTTTGTCTTTCTGCTGTTCACTTCTTAGTGAATTGGAAAGGGAGCTGGGAATGAAAAAAACAGCAGAGGGCCAGCTCCCATGATTTCGATAAGAATCTTGTATATCTTAGAAGTAATATGCTTTGGAGCTCTATCAGAGCTCAGCATTTTCTCAAATGGGAGCATATCCTCCGGCATCCTCAGAGGCTGGGGAAGCTTTAAAACAAAATGCCTTAATTGATAATACTTCATTACATCTAATACAACAAATAGGTATTTTTTCCTTTTTAAATCCTGAAAAGTGTTCAACTCCCCCTTATTTACTATGTCCCTTAACCGTGCATTTTCATTTTTGAACCACTTCTCTGAAATATTATCATTCCCTGGTGGGAAAAACTCTGTCCTTACCAACGGAATCAATAAAGAATTATACTTCCACCCCAAATGCTTGTGTATTCCATCCCACACTCTCAAAACCTCCCATGTCTACATGGTATTAGTTTCATTCATAGTGCAAAACTTTTTTGGTATCCAAATAATCTTCTCAAGACGTGCATTGCTTAAAATACCTTCCATTTTAACCCAACTTTTATAGTTAATTATAGGTCAAATCTACTACTCGTGACAGCATCACCGCATTCTAATATATCCTAATATTAGGCAAATTAGTCCCCCTTTCGTTTTTATCTTTACACAAAACTTCATGTTTAATTCTCGGTTTTTTTTTTTTTTAGTAGCCCAGATATATTTAAGGATTCATTTTTTTATTATCCCAAAAAAGAATCCCAGTACATAAACAGGTTTTTGGGAACTATCACCATCTTAACTAGATTTATATTGCCAATCCAAGAGATCCTGCCCCTTGAAATTCTTCTCAGCTCTTCTTTTATTTCATCTTTTATTTCATTTATTAATGGTATGTAATTTGCCTGATATATATTTTTTATTGAGGGAGTTAACTTTATTCCCAAATAACCTAATTCCTTCTCTCTCCATGTAAATCCTTTTGTAGGGTCTGCTTTTCTTTCTTTGGAATGTTAACATTCAAAATCTCTGACTTTGTGGGGTTTATTTTCAGTTTTGAGAGCTCACCATTATGTTTTAATAGGCTCATTAGATTGGGTAACGTTAATCTGGGGTTCACGATTTAAAACAAGATATCATCTGCGTATACTGCAACTTTATGATCTACATCCCCAATTTTAATTTCTCTAACATCTAAACTTTCTTACTGTCGCTAATAGGGGTTCTAGGGATATAAAAAATAACAGTGGGGATAGTGGACATCCCTGTGTTGTGCCATTATACATTTGAAGAAACCCTGAAAGGGATCCAGTTACCTTAACCGCCGCTGATGGATCATTATACAGCTCCTTGATCCACTTTATCATCCTAGTCCCTATTCCTAAAATCTCCAGCGTACTTATCATAAATCCCCAATCCTCCCTGTCAAACGCCTTTTCAGCATCGTACGACAGGATGATTGTCGGCAACTTTTCTCTCCTTACTTTTTGTATGAGGTGTAGTGATCTTAAACCATTGTCTCTTCCTTCTTTACCTGTGACAAAGCCCACCTGATCTAAGTGTATCCATTCTGTCATCAACTCCTTTAATCTAGTAGCTAATACTTTCGCAAAGAGTTTTGTATTTGTAATTAATAGTGCAATAGGTCTATAACTGGCGAATTGTGAGCAATCCTTCCCTTCTTTAAGAATGACCATTTTTATATATGTCGCAATTAAATATATATGTAACTTGCGAGCCACTATTAAAGTATTCTCTGGTTCGCTGACATAAATCACATACTCAAACTGTGTGTAATTCATTCTTTTCCTTCAATCTTTTCATCAGATATTTTCCCAGTTTATTTCCCTACTGGTTTCTTTCCCTAGAAAACCTAATAAAAATCTTTCTCGTCTCTTGTTCCAACAGCTCCTTTTACTCCTTTCTCTTATGCAGGCCATAGACGGGACATTTATTGGCCGAATTGTCGGCCGATAAACGAAAAATCGGTCGTTGCTGCCACCAATGCTGTCACCAATGCTTAACAAAAATGGCCATTTTTCAAAGATTTTCCAGTATGACCGATTAAAAGGAAACGAGAAGAACCGCGGAAATCGGCCGACAACATTGCCCCATTATTCGTTCGGCCGATAAACGTCCCATCTATGGCCTGCATTAGTGATGATCTTCTGATGTATCTGTATCCTGTCTCTTTTTATGGTCCTGTTCTAATCTATATAACTCCTCTGTCAACTCCTTTGTTTTTCTCTCACGGTCTTTTTTTTTTTTTTTTTTTTTTGGTCCCAGCTGCTATCGAGATCCCCCTAATGTAAGCCTTATGTGCCTCCCAGATAGTAGCCGTAGAGACTCCTTCAGTCTCATTCAGAAGAAAAAATTGCTCTATTTCATCCTTTAACCTTTTCTCTCATTTAATCTCCACATGGCCCTTTTTTTCCCATCTCCTCCTAACTGTAGTCTCACTGTGACAGGTGTGTGATCTGAGATAGACATAATTTCTATATTAGATTTAACCAAAGACTCCAATTGTCTATGTTCGATCATAATATAATCCAATCGTGAATACTATCTGTGCGCTAGAGAGAAGGTATAATCTCTTTCTCTGGGATGTTTCACCCCCCCATGTATCTATTAATTGACTTTGATATAACATCTTTTTTAACAATCTTAATTTTGTTTCCCTCTCCTCTCGACGCACTTGAAGTCATATCCTCCATGAATCCAAATATAAATTAAAGTCCCCTGCCAGAATCAGACTACCCCTCTTAAAGTCCATAATTTTCCACAACACTCTCTGCATAAATACCTCTGGATTTTGATTCGGGCAGTATATGTTAGCCAATGTATAGTTTTCTCCCTGCATTTTTTTTTCTTACATTCAAATACCGACCTTCTGGATCTAGCAATCTCTTCTCTACATCAAAACCTGCATTCCTCGAAAACCCAATCGCTACTACCTTAGCCCTCTTTATTAGTGAGTCTGCATAATACCAGGTTGGATAATACCCTCGAGTATAGCTTTACATAGGATTATTATGTTACATGTGTCTCTTGTAAGAACACTACATCTGTAGAATGTTGATGCATTTCGCTAAGTATCTTATGCCCTTTTGTGGGAGAATTTAAACCTTTTACATTGTAGGTCATGAGATTAATCCAGGTCATACCCATTTAATATTTATTTTCTGGTTCTGCATTTCTATTTGAAGGGAATATATACCACAATTATCATGGGAATATTCTATTCCCCCCTCCCGCCACTCCTCCTTCCCCTCCCGTCCACCTGCTCCCCTCCCTGATCATTTTCCCCAAAAAATCAATAATAGGGGAGGGTGGGAGGAGGAACAAGATTTACTGCCCCCCCCCCCCCCCCCCCCCCCCCTGGGAAAATCCAAAATTTTACAGTTGTTACCATAACATGAATAAAGGGGAAATCTTCCAATGGGGGCACCTCTTCTAGTGACAGTTGTCTAGCAGCAGATTTCCCCACACTTTAAAGAGATTTCATGCCGTTTCCTTTTTCATCTACCAAAAGCTATATAAAAGTATTTCATTTAGATTGACCATATACCTATAAGACTTTGGAATTGTGTTTTTTGCGGGGAGGGGTTGGGTTTTTTTTTTTTTGTTTTTTTTTTTTTTTTGGGGAACATGTTATATGTGAAGATTGTGTTTTTTCCATAGTCAGGAGATCCAGGACCCCATCACCTGTCGCTGACTGCTCTGTTTGGAAAAGCTGAAAAGAACTTCATAGAGGGTCACGAACATAAAGACGCCTCCAAGATCCGTCCGGCAGTGGTTCGCTCCTTGTCGTACGAAGAGCCAGGTCGATTATCTGATAGCAGAGAAAAGCAGCTGTGCCCGGCTATTCAGAAACTGATGGTGCGTGGTGCTGACCTGATACCAGTTTCAGAGAGCCCAGAGAAGCACCATAGCCAGATTGGGAGTTCCCATCTTCCAGCAGACGTGTTCAGCAGCCTCTTTCTGCCCATAGAAGAAGTCGTCCCTTTTCTTGCACAAGTGCCTGATGGTGGCAAAAGCCTTCTGCATAAACTTGCTAGCACCCACTCCACAGTTCCTCACTCTGAACCAGGTCTGACTCCCTCAAAACATTATTACAGTGGTCCTATAACCAGCGTTACATCCAGCACCTCAGGGATAAATACAAGCAGTGCCCCGCTTCACTGTTATGATGACACACAACGGAGCCAAAGGACTCCATCAAATCTACCTGCAATGCCGCTCTCCTCCCAGCTGCCTCCCCCACCTGGAACCATCTCTCCGCATGAGCTGCTGAAGAAACTGAACCTTGTGCGTCAGGACCAACAGTACCAGGCCAGCACCAAACCAGCCCTGGCTGCCAAATTCCCGCTAGTCTCTCAGCTAGCAGTAAAACAGACCTGGACAGAGAAGTTACCTGTGGGAGAGAAGTCCAATCCACTGCTTGAGGTAATACATTGCAGTAGGTTTTCTTGGGGATAACACTGTTTTATTGTTTAAATTTTTTTATTTTTAGAATTTGTAGAAGCACAATGTAGCTTGTGCCTGTATGTAGTCAGTTTCTTTTTGTTAGCTGGCTAACACTTTTATGTTTTTAATCTGTTGCTCCCAAAATATTTGCAGATATGTAGCCACCAACACAACCATTTAATAAAAGTTTAAATCTGCACTCACAATCAATATCATCTAGGTTTTTGCTAAAAAAAAAAAAAAAAAATCAAAATACCTAAATCCACATCTCTCCATCTCCTGAGTCTCCTTTTCGGTGTCTTCCTCACTTCCTGAGTGACATGGACAATTCCAGTTGACTTCATCTGTGTGGTCCTCAGAAGACCGCTACGGAGATTATGTTGGGAGAAGGAGACTGCTCCACTGCAGCTCTGGATCCACCAATCATAACTTCCAGGTGCAGTGCCAGTGAGTGATGTGGATAACAGATATAAGTGAGTTTACAAAAGTATCTAAAGGTATCCTGATAAACCTGGCCATACACCAGTAGAATTTCATTTTTTAAATGTTTGTTTTGATTTTCTAATAGGTATTGGAGTGGAATAGACTTCCTTTTTGACCGTAGTGATGAAAAAAATCAAAGCAGCTGGATGAATTAAATTGCAATAGTGTATGGGTGTTTGTTCAGGAGTTTGTTAAAGTTTGTTCATTGGTTCCAAAATCAAATGTTAAAAGTGAATTTAGTTTTGAAGTATTCATCAGGTCATAGAATGTTTTGAAAATTTTCATATGAGTTTGGAAGTAGAGGTTGATTGACATTTCCGATATCCCATCTTGGCATTCAGCAGCGGGAAGCGCTTGAACAGTGGGAAAACTAAGGCTACTTTCACACTGATCCACTGCAAAAACACAGCAGCGTTTTTACTGCACTTTTGCCACGCTTTCTGACCGTTTTTTTTTAAAGGACACGTGACTTAAAAACTGCACCAAAAACGCTTCTCAGAGGTGTTTTTGAGGCGCTTTTCAGGCATTTTTCATTGATATCAATGGGAAGAGGTGTTTTTAGGGTGTTTTTTTTTACTCGCCAAACATGCCCCAAAGATGCTGCAGGCAGGAATTTTTACAACGTACCGCAAGCGCAACATCTCAAAAGCACACAGATATACATTCATATACACAGGGAAGAATTTTTCTTGAGCTTTTCAGGTGCTTTTTTTAATGCAAAAACGCTTCAAAAACTCCTTAGTGTGAAAGTGGCCTAAAGGCACAACTTGTGCCAGCACAACATCCTGTAGGCCTGCAGAATGAGTACACACTTAGGGATGACCACACCACTGCTGCATCGGGAGACAGTGAGTGAGTGCTGTCACCCTAAAACAGGAGCCTCTACTGACAGCGTGACTTACAAGGTCACCAGATAACATTTTTCAGATTGCTAGAACTAAAGTAAATTGGGTATGCTAGTGAAATTTTGGGTTGATGTTGGGAAGAATAAATTTAGAGTTTGTTTTTGGTTGATTATAAAAGTCAAAGCCTCCAGCCACCTCTCACCTTCTTGCACATGTTCACCATGGCTGTATCCTTTCCCATGGGAAGGTTCTATGCTGTTGGACCACTGGAGGACTGGAGGCTGCCATAGGTACATCACTAGATTAGGGCTTTAGATAAGTGTGTTACTGGGTGGGCTGCACTCGGGAAGGAGGGGGAATTAACTGGAGGTCCTATACACAGCCAAAAAACTTAATGGAAGTATACAGGATGTGTGTAATTTGTCCTGTCCTTCAGCCACTCTAAACTGAAGCTTGCTGTCGGCTGATGTCACTCAGCCGGTCCAGGCTGGGGAAAGATCTTGACTTTAAAGTCGGGAGCCACCCTAGAGTCTGGAGCAGCACCTAGCTCAGCCTCTCAGTGAGCCACTAAGGCCTGAGTCAGCTGATCCCTCCCTTTCAAAGCCCAGCGCTCCAATGAGCGCAGGAGGGGCAGAGCAGACAACGCTGACTGATGGTCATGGCTTTCTGCTCACAGCGGCTGTGAGAAATCAGTGGTCATGTGATCGCTGAGTTCTCACACTGGGAGCTGGGAATAATAAACCCCCTACTTCTCTTTTAAGTAATGACAAAGGTAATGTAAAAAAAGCTGTGGTTTGAAAGAGGTGCTCAGGCTTGATAGCTGAAGAGTGGTATTAAAGTCAGCATTTACAAAAACGCTGACTGGCAGGGTTTTATAACAGAAGAGACCATGATGGTCTCTTTTGTCATAAATGCCTCAATCTTCCTGTCAGCTGTAATGTACACTAAGCCATGCATGTGCAGCTCAGAGTACATTTATGGCACCTGCTCTGTGTCATGATGATGTGACTCCCGTGTTGAAGTATGCAAGTGACGCCATTACAGCCCAGCTTTTCAAGTGGCTGAACAGCACAAATCTGGAAGGAAGACCGGGGGATGATAGAGGCGCCTGAGCACTGACATCACAGTGCTGGAGGGCATCTTTTGACTGGCAAGTCTGTTATAATGTGCAGTGCATACCAGCACATTATAGCATAAACCTGCAGTGGGGGTGATGGTCAGTTGGAAAACTTTTTTTTTTTTTTTCAGAGTTTAATTCCACTTTAAAAGACAAATTGCTATTTTTAAAAAGCAGTCCATAGTCCATTTTTTATTATTATTATTATACAGGATTTATATAGCACCAACAGTTTGCTCCGTGCTTTACAATATAATGGGAGACAATACAGCAACCATACAGTTCAATACAAGAGGGATAGGAGGGCCCTGCTTCTTGGAGCTTACAGTCTAGGAGGGAGGGGCTAGTGGTACAAAACGTAGTAACTGTGGGGGATGGACTGGTTGGAAGAGTAGAAGATTCCATTAATTAGCTGAGGGCAGGATAGGCTTCCCTGAAGAGAGGTTTTCCGAGATTGTCTAAAAGTGAGCAGAGTAGGCGATAGTCTGATAAATTGGGGTAGAGAGTTCCAGAGGATGGGGGAAGCTCTGGAGAAGTCCTGGAGATGAGCATGGGAGGAGGAGACAAGGGAGCTAGAGAGTAGGAGGCCTTGTGTGGAGCGGAGAGTACAGTTTGGGTGATATTTAGAGACAAGATCGGTGATGTAATTTGGGGCAGAGTTATAAATGGCTTTATACGTTATTGTTAATGTTTTGAATTTTTATCCGTTGGGCAATGGGAAGCCAGTGGAGGGATTGACAGAGAGGGGTGGCAGATACAGAACGGTTAGTAAGGTGGATGAGTCTGGCAGCAGCATTCATGATAGACTAAAGAGGGGATAGCCTGCGATTAGGTAGGCCAATGAGGAGGGAGTTACAATATTCAAGGCGAGATATAACAAGGGAGTGAATAAGTTGCTTGGTGGTTTCCGAGGTTAGGAACGGCCGTATCTTGGAGATGTTGCGGAGGTGAAGTCTACAAGATTTGGACAGTGGATTGGATTTGGGTCTGAAAGGACAGATGGGAGTCTAGGATTACACCTAGTACCCTGGCATGAGGGGAGGGACTGATGATTGTGTTATTGATCTTGATGGAGAAGTCAGGGAAGGGGCATGGGCTGGGGGGAATACTAAGAGCTCAGTTTTGGAAAGATTGAGTTTGAGGAAGTGGAGTGACATCCATGCCGAAAATGTCGTTTAGTAGGTTAGTGATGCGAGAGGAGACTGAAGGGGTGAGGGTTAGAAAGATAGATTTGTGTGTCATCAGCATAGAGATGGTACTTAAAGCCATGGGAGTTTATCAGGTGACCAAGGGAGGAGGTGTAGATGGAGAAAAGAAGAGGTCCAAGGACAGAACCTTGAGGGACCCCTACAGAAAGAGGGAGTTAAGAGGAGGAGGCAGCATTATAGATAATGCTGAAGGAGCGCTGCGATAGGTAGGAGGAGAACCAGGAGAGAGCAGAGTCTCGGAGGCCAAGAGAGTGGAGGGGATGGTCAACTGTATCAAAATCAAGTAGTACGGAGTAGTGGCCATTGGTTTTAGCAGTCAGTAGATCATTAGTGAGTTTTAGTAGGGCAGTTTCAGTGGAGTGTAGTAAGCGAAAGCCAGACTGTAAAGGGTCAAGAAGGTTGTTGTCGGTGAGGTAGGAGCTTAGGCGAATGTAGACTAAGCGTTCTAAGAGTTTAGAGGTAAATGGCAGCAGGGAGATGGGTCTTAAGTTGTTCAGTTGGTGGGGTCCAGGGAGGGCTTTTTAAGTATGGGAGTGATGTGTGCATGCTTTAGAGGGGAGGGGAAGGCACCGCTAGAGAGATTGAAGATGTGAGTGAGGGAGCATAGGATGGAAGAAGAGGGTGACCGTAGTAGTTGTGAGGGGACAGGATCCAGGGGGCAGGTAGTGAGACGGGATTCTGACAAAACCTTAGTGACCTCTTTGGTCAAAAGAGGAAAGTGTTGAGGGAGGTTTAGTATAAGGTATGCTAAGTGGGATGGATGTCTGTGCAGTGGCAATGCCCCTACGAATTGCGTCAATCTTGTTTTTGAAATGATTTGCAATCTCGTGAGCAGTGAGTGAGGTGCTGGGTGGAGGTGGAGAAAGTAGAGAGTTAAAACTAGAGAAGAGACAACGAGGACTGAATGACAAGGTATTAATAAGAGTGACAAAGTAGACTTGTTTGGCAGCATGGAGGGAGGAATTGTATGTTAAGAAAGCAGATATATATAGGGTGAATGCTTGTTGAGATTTGGTTTTACGCCACAATTGCTCCAGTGCACGACTATGTCGCTTCAGATTTCTGGTGTCGTCAGTCTGCCAAGGTTGTAATGGTCGGGGCCTGATACTTCGTGTTGTTAGAGGAGCAAGTGTGTCTAATGTGGATGAGAGCGAACTGTTGTAGACAGCAGTGGCTAGGTCAGGGCAGGACAGGGGAGAGATTCTGTCATAGAGTTGGTCAGTTGCAGAGTGGAAAGGAGCAGGGTTCAAGTTGTGAAGGTTTCTGCGGGTAATTGTTTGCTGCTTGGAGGGATAGGGGTTTGAAGATGAAGACACTGTGAATGTGATGAAATTGTGATCAGAGAGAGGAAAGGAGGTGTTAGTGAGGTTGTAGAGAGTGCAAAGATGGGAGAGAACAAGGTCTAATGTATTCCCATCAGAGTGAGTGGAGGACTGTATACATTGTGCTAATGCAAAAGATGAGGTTATGTTGAAGAGTTGGGATGTAGCCGGGTTGTTGGCATTTAATGGGGATGTTACAATCTCAGAGAATGATAATGGGTAGTTTAGAGGAGAGAAAGTAGGGTAGCCAGGCAGAGAAATCATCAAGAAAGTGGGACACCGGTCCAGGAGGCCGATAGATCACTGCAATCCTCAGAGAAATGGGAGAAAACAGCCGAATGCAGTGAGTCTCGAAAGAAGAGAAGGATAGAGAGGGAGGGTTAGGGAGGACTTGAAAGGTGCTCAGTGGGGATAGAAGCAAACCAACTCCACCACCTTTCCGACCACTGGGTCTGGGTGAGTGGGTCCAGAGAAGGCCTCCATAGGAAAGTGCTGCGGGATAAGCAGAATCTGCTGCTTGAAGCCAGGTTTCTGTATTTGCTAGTAGGTTAAGGGAGTGGGAGACAAAAAAGGTCATGGACAGAGGTGAGCTTATTACAGACAGAGCGGGCATTCCAGAGTGCACATGAAAAAGGGAGGGTGGATTTTGGAAGCACGGGGACGGTTATTAAATTGAGGGGATTGCGGCTATTCCCGGAAGAAAGAGGATGCCTGGTGTGAGGGTGAGATACTGGAGGACCAGGGTTTGGGGAGATATCCCCAGAGGTTAGGAGAAGGGTGAGCAAAGTAACATGGGAGTGGGATGTACACGAGCGCGCGCATGTATTCCAGTCCTGATGTTTGGGTCAGCAGCTGAGTGAAGTATCAGCAGGAGGTGATGAGAGCAGTAGTAGGGAGATGGTAACAGTGAGGGTGAGATGTACAAGTTTTGGGGTGGAGCAGAGGGGTAAAGAAATGAGATTTTTGGAACGCAGGATAGTAATATGAAAAGGAGGAGTAGAGGGGACATATTAAAAGGTAGGTGGAGTGGGACTCAGACTTGTAGGAGATGTTTCCCAGGGTGTTTGCTTGCAGCCTATCCAGCGTGCAGTAGAGTTTCTTGTCTTGTATCTTCCTGCTGCTTGAGTTATCCTGCTTTAGTTAAACTGCTGTGTTCAACTGCTTCTTAGCATTTGGCTTCAAGAGGTAAAAAAAAATCCTTCCTGATCCCCAACACCTATTCGATAAATCCCTGGTTTAACAGTTCATAATATTAGTCATGGAATAAGACCCAACCTTTTTTTCTTAGAACAGTCTGTTGAATCAGCAGGAACTAAACTAACCACAGCCTGTGACTGGACAGTGGAGGAGGAGCAGCAGTACACTTGTGAGGCCATCACTCTGCTCTTTTGAAAGGAAGCTTATAGTGTTCTACAGACAGAAGTGTGCTTGCTGTGTTGCAATTCCTTTTCACAGTCTTGCAATACAGGAGATTTGAGAAGAAAACTTGTGAATGCAGAACTGAAATACATTACTTAATGTTTACCTGTCATAGGATTTGTAATTCTGAATAGTCAGTTTTGTCATTTCTTGTGTAGGTTATACCCCCACAGCAGATCCCAGCCACTGTGTCACCATCTGTCCTCCTGTCTCCTTTGGTTTTTACAAAAACAAGCATACAAAAGTCAGCCGATGTGACAAAACCTGCATTGTCTGATAACGACACAATCACAAATCGACTCCTTCCTCTGTCGCTCACAGACACACCCACTAATGGCATCAGCAATCAGAGCAGTGTTCTGACCAAGACCCAACTCCGTGACACCCTTCTGCATCTTATCCAGGTGAGACAACATTAGCAGACTCCTTTACGCTGTCTGCCTAACAGAAAGTTTGCACACCTAACATCTGGAAAGTTGTATATCCGCTTTCTGCCAAATTAAAGCTGGAGTTTAAACACATGCCCTCCTGAGGATTTACCCCCCTTCCTGACTAGGCCATTTTTTGCATTGTGGCACTGTGTTACTCAGTACTTCGGTAAAGAGCCCTCAGCCCTGATGCAAGCGGTGGGATGGCCCCTGATAGGAGTTGTGCAAATATCAAAACGCCTTTACATGGATGTCAGTCTGTGAGAAGCTCACAGTGTACAGTGAAATCACAGTAAGCATTTTCAGCACAAGAGTGGAGCTTCTACAACTGTACAAGACTGAAGGGAAGGCTGGAGTTCAACTTTAAACTTGTGCAGAAATTCTCAGTACAAAATACAGTGCAGTGTAAAGTGCACTGCAAAATATGTTAGAACTACACAATACTAGTATGTGACTGTGTGAGACATTATAGTGTAAGCTCCTCTGATGCAGAGATGTGACCAGATCAGCGTTTTCTATACAGCGCTACACAATGGGGTAGATTTACTAAAACTGGAGCACTCAGAATCTGGTGCAGCTGTGCATGGTAGCCAATCGGCTTCTAACTTCAGCTTGTTCAATTAAGCTTTGGCAATAAAACCTGGAAGCTGATTTGGTTTTTATTCAGATTTGCACTCTCAAGTTTTAGTAAATGACCCCCAATATGTCAGAGCTATATACAATAAAAGTAGTATAATAGTGTGTGACTGTGATGGAACATTGGTGTTTGCTTAAGTGATGTGCCTGGCTCAGTGGTCTCTGTCGAGTGGAATATGTCAGAGCTATGTAAATGTAGAATATAAGTAGCGTGTGACTCTAGTGGGACAATAAGAGTGTAAGCTCCTCTGGTGCAGAGACTGATGTGAATGGCTCAGTGTTCTCTGTACAACACTGCAGAATATCACAGAGCTATAAATATGTGTAATAAAGTGGAATCTCTGTTTTCCTGTCTCTTTTTTTCAGAATGATGACAGTTTTTTTGAACACCATCTATGAGGCCTACCTATCAGTCTTGAACAGAAGTGGTGCTCCGGCTGGGATGCTGTGAAATCTTTTCATCGGTTCCTGTATTGTTGTGTATCAGGGTGGGCTGCAGTCATTGTGTTTGGATTTTTTGACCATCTTTTCATTAATCTTTCCATGATAGTGCACTCATCTTCCATGCATTATGGAGGTAGCAACATTGGAGATGGGACCAATATTTCAGAAAGTTAGACCAATAGGCCAAATATACTGTGCCCCACTCTGTGCCTGGGAGACAGCTACTCTTAAAGGATGACTTTGCATAAAGAGATTTCAGGGAAATTCACTGGTTGAACTCAAAACAGATTTCTTTTTGAGGGAACACAGTGAACTAAAGATGTTTTATCTATTTTTCTGCAGCTGTGATTAAATTGTACATATGTTTTTAACCGTCTATTTGGCCACATCAGAAAGAGCAACAAGGATGTGCAGGAACTAGTCAGAACTTATTTTATTGTACATTCATTAGCTGCCAGATTATTTCTGAATAGCTGCTGTGAGATGCTGCCTTGTTGAGTTATCCTGTGTACCTGAAACATGGGGACTTCTGAGGAAATTCTCTCAAGTCAGTCTTTCAAAATTATTCTGACAATGTAGTAAAGCTAGAGGACAGGAATTGTTGTACCCAATCAGATCAGATGAATTATTTAAATGTCCAATCCACAATACAAAAATTGCAGCTGGTTTTAACTTTAAGCTTTTGACTGTGTGGGCCTGACACATTTGCTAAGCTTTAATGGATAAGCGCACTTATGCTTTTTTGCCTCACCGACCCTCAACATTCACACATGCATCACTACGTCAATCTGACAGGCGCAGATCAGCTGTTTGCTTACATCCAGTCCTTCACTGTCCTGGCCCTGAGCATTACAGCACCTGTGCATTATATGGGACTGTCTCTGATTGTCTCTGGCCTTAGGACACAGTCCCATAGAAGTTTATCGTGCATTAATGCCCAGGTGTGCACAAGACAATGAAGACTTGCACTGATGGATGTACACAAACAGCAGTAATGCAGCCATCAGATTGCGGTACATATGCATCTGTGGAGGAGGGCAGAGGAAGGGACAAAAAGGATTGCATGAGCTGTGTTTTAAAGGGATAGAAATAGAGCCCAATCTGGTTAAATATGGAGCCACATCCCAAAATTATGTTCAAAGGAAGACTAGCATAAGGTGAGTGACTTTAAAGGCACCAGATAAACAAAGAATGTTAAAACCTTAAAGTTTTTTTATTATAATTCATTAAAAATTCAGCAACCCTGTGCATATTAAAACAATATGAAAGATTGGTCCATAATCATATACATGAAACCACAATGAGATACAATGACATATATATATATATATATATACACACCGACGCATTTCAATTCTTGATATGAATCTTCATCAGGGATATGTGTATCCCAGTGGTGTAGTAGGACCAGGATTTACATTTCTAACATATTTTTCCATGAGGGGAGGGAGCAGCGTGTCCCGTGGACCATTAAGATTTAGCCACTGAAGCACAGAGGACACTGTAGGAGTTTCCCTCTAATGCAGCACTGGGAAAGGTTGCAGCAGCACCTTTTTACTTAGTTGCTTTATGTATCTGCTGGTTGATGAGGATATGACTCGTATGTCTTTTTGTGTGGCTTCATACCCCTTCAAGTTTTTTTCTGCTTTTTTTTCATTGGTGGCCTGATGGTTATAATATCAAGTAATCCAGTCTTCCATCTATTTGAACATGGAGGCTCTACTATCATTTTCTCTTGACGTAACATCAGAGAGAGACACCTACGGTGTCTTTTGTGCTTTAGGCTCTAAATCTTACTGGTCCATGGGACAGACTGCTCCCTCCCCTACAGGAAAATGTTATAACTCTTGCTCCAAATACACCACTCCCTGATAAAGATTCATATCAAGAATTGAAATGTCGGGTTTTATATATGATTATGCCAGTGTATCTCATTGGGGTTTCATGTATATGATTATGGACCAATTTTTCATATACACGGTGTTTCCACATTTTTAATGAATTGTACTAAAAACGTTCAGGTTTTAACTTTCTTTTATGTGGTGCCTTTGAAGTCCCTCATCTTTTGCTAGTCTTCCTTTGAATTTGTTTTAAAGGGAACTTCCCCTTCGAACTGAATTTGACAATATTGGTCGCTTTATGGGTTAGGAGAGAGGGATTCTAAACCTTTATAAAGGTTTTCCATGGAAGAGTTAAACTCCTTCCATTTATTCCCAGAGGAGGCTCTTTTTTACAGTTGTCAGCACATTAACTTGTGTAGAAATGGCAAGGACTCTGAAAAGGCTTAGCCTTGTTCTTAGAGTGACTGTTTTTTAGAGAGAGGGCTGCAAAAGACTGTCCTGGAGCTGAGCAGGTGTATCTGGCAGTGTTCTCACTAGCAACAAGCTAGTGGGATAGCGAATGAGTGCTATAAACCCCTCACCTTCATTACCTTTTACTTAAAAGAAAACCCTACAATACTTTTTTTTTTTTTTCTCCTGCAAGTTTCTTGACAGTCCGATAATATCAACAGAACTTCTCTACACAGCAGCGGGAATTGTTTTAAAGGATAAGTTCACCTATTGTAACATATGACACCCATATTCAGGGGTGTAACATGTTACAATTGTACCGGCCCCCGCTCCCCCCTGGTCTGCCAATTTTATAGCTAGCGGGGAATCTTCTCTCGCTAGCTGTTACAATTTGACGTGAAAAAAAAACGTGGCCATGCGGGGCTCCGCCCACCCAGCCACGTCACTCATTTACAGTATTCTGTGAATGGGAAGACTACAGGTCCCGACAGCCTTTGCGACTGTTGGCTTGTAGTTCTCAATGAACTACTATGGCACTGTGGTAGTTCATTGATTCTTCCTGTCTGTGTAAAATTGTCTGCTTGTATAAGTACATAGATTACACTGACAGTCTGACCTGTCAGTTACACTGACTGCAGGAGACCTGTATGGCATCAGCAATCTGCTGATCGCTGATGCAATGCTTTCCAGGCTCCTAATGCAAAAAAATTGTAAATGCATTTATTTTACCTAAAAAAAAAAAAAAAAAAAAAAATCAATTATTATTTTTTGCTAAAAGGTGAACTTATTCTTAAAGACTAAAGAGGTGATCTCACAAGTAATGTGTATGCACACCGCTCCGTTCCAGAGTACTATGAGCCCAGTCTGTCTGATGATGTGCTTTATGGCCAGGGGGATCCTGTAAACGTAAGATTTTGCTCACAGAAAATGGGCAAATTGACAGTATCTTCCTGCCTACAGTCACGCTGGCACTGAACTGAGGAGAAAGGGGCAGCGCTGAAACATGGAGAAGGGTAGGTTGAAATTGGGGAACATCTTCTACCTGACTTCTTCCAAGTACTGGGCTGCAGCCATCTTCATTGGCTGGTGTGGAATGACATCACTCCCTGCATGTGCAGGAATGCAGTCATCCCGGCACACAGGCGCTGTGCTAACATGTAAACTGAGCTGCGTTTATGCAGCTTAGTCTTCATTCTAAAGAAATCCATGAGCATGCAGATAGGTTTATTTTATTGCAGAAGAGACATTACATATGTCTTTTGCAATAAAGAACCTACCTGCTGGTTTTTGAAAACAGGACTTATGCCCCGTACACACTATAAGAAAATCGTGCGAAAATTTTCGTACGAGGACCGATCGTCCGCTAATTGGATTGTTAGTACACAGCTTTTGAGAGCCGATCACAATTTGTACAACAATATCCAAAGGGACAAGCGCAAACATTTTTCTCGTACGATATCAGATCGTTGATTTTCATTTAATCAGTACAGTAGTCATCTGAAAATACAATACAAATACAACGCAATACAGGACATCACTTTCGAAATTCTTTTCTTTCATAGGAGAATTTTTGAATCTTTTAGTAACCTTTTCACTTTCGATGTGAGACAAGCAAGCGGAAAAAAAAAAAACGGCCGATCGTTGTCCGATATTCTCATCGTGTGTACGGGGCATTAAGTTCTGCTTTAAGTTTTTAATGCGAGCAGCTGGATTAAATCAGCCACTAGTTACTTTTATCTCTTTGACTCCAGCACTGGGATCTTAGCATTTGAGTTTTTAACTTGTCTGAAGGCTGACTTAGAAAAACACCTGCGAGATCCCACTTCCATGAGAGGTAAGAGAAGTTGCTAACTGTTTTTTGGTAGAGTGCTCTTTTTAATGGCGGCAGATGCAGTGTGTTTACATGAAGAGAGTACTAAACTTGTATTTTTATAATGCCAAGAGTTATAACATATTTTTTCACAAGAATCCCAGAATGTAGAAGTACTTTATTTTTTTTATTCCACTCTTTGGAGAAATGGCAGTGGTGTGTAGTTCAGACAGTGGCCTACAGGTGGTACCATCTGCTTGGTGTATCACCAGTGAGGCAGTGATGTGTAGTTCTGACAAAAGCCTCCAGGTGGTGTCATCTGCTCAGTGTATAACCTATGAGCAGCTTTTAGCGGTTGGGTCAGTGAAAACATAAAGCAATGCTTCTGTGATGTCACCTGAACAGCGTGGGGGGGAGGAAGAACTTTACTGATCCTGCTTCTCTTGGGATTGTAATATGTCTATTTTCAAAAACTGCACACAGTTTACCAAAGTCCACCTCAACCCAATTATAGGTGGCGTATTGTAGACTGACTTTTTATATTTTTGGGGTATTTTAGCAACTGGGCGGTTCTTCAGAAGCCATTTTTTTCCCCCACTGCCTTAGATTTGCATTCCATATTATGAGGATTCAGCTAACAGTTGGAGACCCTCTGGTAACTGCCAGTGTGGTTGAGTACGGAACTTATGAATCTCTGAAATCCCTGAAAAATATAAAAAGTCAGTGAATGACTCCACGTGAAATATCAGTAGGTTTTTTTTTTTTCCTTGTCAAGGACATTAGAAAGTTTGCTGTCTGCAATAAACTTTTCATTTCCCGAATCATTGTCTGCCTGGCTCTGTTTTCTGGCCGTCACTGAGCTATCACCTAGCAACATTAGATTTGATGTTTTGGAAAATATAATTA